TTATTTTTTAGGCTGCAACAAGTGTTTCGCACTCGAGGTCTGCGGGACGGAAAACACGCCATCTGATTGACCCTATTGTCACACGTTGTTTTAATTCTTGTCCTACCTGACGGCTCTCTCAATGACTGCATTGCAAAACACCTGTCTACCTGCTAGCCTGTTGTTGAATGAAGTTATAATGCGCACGCTTTGGTCCTGTTTTTCTGCAGAATCTGAGAGAGAGGAGGCAACGCGCAGCGAGCAGCAGCAGAAGAAAAACTCTCAGGAAAAGGACACAGACACAAAAAGAGGCGGACGCAGACCGGACGGCGTACAACCGCCTGCAGCGCACTGTGACATGGAGAAGGTTCGTCGTGGTGGGTGTGTGTGTGCTGTGTGTGTGCGTCGTGTGGGGTGTGGTGTCTGTGTGTGTGCTGTGGTGTCCGTGTCGTGCGTGTGTGTGTGTGTGTGGTGTGTGTGTGTGTGTGGTGCTGTGTGTGTGTGGTGTGTGTCGTGGGTGTGTGGGCTCGTGTGGTTGTGCTGTGTTGTGTGTGTGGTTGTGTGGTGTGGTGGTCTGTGGTGTGTGTGTGGTGTGCCGTGCGTTCTGTGAGAGAAATGTGCAAGATCAGCCACATGCGAGAGAGCGTAGCTGTACTCTCCTACATAGATGCTTCATCCTTGATATCGGTGTTGCCTGGAGCTGATTTCTGTAATGGCATACTCTGGACTGCCGAAGTAGAGCGACCCAAGAAACCATAGGAATAGATCGAGCAGCTGTGTATCCGCGCTGATTGAGTGGGGGGTAGAATAAAGGTGACAGTCTTCAGGCTTAGTTCCGCCTCCCTTTCATCTGACTCCTGTCTGTGAGTACGGAGCCTGGAGTTTCACCTGTAGAGACAACAGCATGTAACGGCGCACAGCAGGCTGGTCAGTAACCAGAATAGCTTGGCAATGGGGCTGTTACGTAATGTGATGTCACAATCAGATCAGATTAGGCATTTAAAAATGCATTTAGAATATTCATTTTCCAGTTCTCAGATATTAGTTTTGTGCCGAAAGGCGGCATCAAGCATATATAAGCAGTGCAGTGGGCAAACAAATGATTAGTCATATTTCTTGTCTGTAAGTGAACTTTAAAATGAGTTACAAGCTCCCAAGTACTCACCCAACTCATTAAGCTAAGCCTTTATAATCGTGATTTAGGTTTCTCTTTAGTTTCTTCAATCTGGCAGAAGTTACTTTTGTCGGATCATA